TCCTGTTCAAATGAAGGGGCTTTTCTTGTACTTTTGGGGGGTTTACTATGCAAGGGACTGGAAGTTTTCTAGGATAGCTTACCTAGCTTCAGGGCTCAAATACTTCAGGGTTTGGCAGGAAGGACGGTTATGGGTGGGTCAGAGCAGGTGGCCAGGGGTGACCTAGGTCAAAGGAAGGTGACCAGATCAGGCGACTGGAGCAGGTGACTGGAGCAGGTGACCGGGATGAGTCAGGATGGAGCTGGGGGCTGGGGAGAACAGATGTGAACAACTGATTAGAACCAGCGGAGAAGGTTGTTTACTGCAACTGCAAAGAAGTTAAACTTTAAAATGAAGGACAAATAACTGAATATAATGACATACTGATTCTTTGAAGAGAAATTTACAACTCATTGTATCCAATAATTATATCCACCAGACCCACCTCTTTCCCTCTATTATCCAGAAATCCTGTTTATTTCTAAAAAGAAGCATGTTTATGATGTCTGCTTTCTCTCCCACACCTCGCAGTATCCCATGCATTTTCATCACTCTCCATCTGTTCCTGTGCCATGTCCCCATTCACTCTTGGCAAAAGACCTACTACATTATGTGTGCTCTTCTCTTCATTCACTGGCCCAACAATTGCCTACTAAGTATCTGCTCCAGGCACTTTGCTTTGTTCTGAGCATACAATGATAAACAACATGTCCAAAAGGAAGCATGTCATCTACCTTCTTCCCCTAAACCTGCTCCTCCTCCTAGATTGCTGCATTAATGAATGGCACCACTGTCTGTGAGCAATTTTAAGTGAGAAAGCCAGAAGTCATCCTCACACCTCCATCATCTTCCTTACCCAGACAGTATCCAAGTCCTTGAATATCAGCTACTTCCTTCTCAACAACCTTGCTTCCACGGTCTCAGTCATTGCCTTTGTCAATCTTTATCTGTCAGAGTCCCCTAATTTTTATATTTCCATACTTAGCTATCTAAAAACCAATCTACCACCCAAGAAAGCCACTTGGGTGATTCTATTGCCATTTGTCCCTCCTAAGAGCCTACTTACATGCATACACTGACATACAAAAAGAAATAATCCCATAAAAGTGAAAAGAATGGAAGGAAGGTATTTAATAAACAAAAAGAGAGAGATTTTAATGAATTTAGGAAATTAAAAAATAGGATTGGGCTGCCAAATGAAACAAGAGGAGAAATTCCCACTTTTAAAAGGCAATGAGGGGGTGGCTGCAGAAAGACTTTCAGAGAGTAGAGGGTGGCTCTACTTTTTAATCCTACGGAAAAGGTTTAGAAATTGTGGTCTTAATAAGCTTAGCAAGGCTGAGCTACTTTAGGAAAAGGGTATATTAATCACCTAAAAAAATAGTCAATCCTAAAAATCGTATTTTATCTTTTAAAAGTTAACTTTTAATTTAGAGCCTAGGGTACAATTAAAGACTCTTTATTCTGGCAGAGAAAAGGGGATGTCTGTTCTGCTGACAGATTGTGACCCAAATGATACACAGATAGCTGGGAGAGCAGTCACTTTTTTCTGGACAATGCAGATCCCTTTTTACTTTTCACTAATATTATTAAGAGGTATTTTGAGCCTTGCTCAGAATTACCGAGATTTGTGGAATAAAGAAATTGGGTAGAAAGACAGATTTAGAGAGAGGAAGGGGATAGATCTGTTGGAGGCTGCCATTAATCTGCCTTTTTAAAGTTTTTTTTTTTTCCAGGAAATCTTCACTGACATTGAGTTAGAGCCATTGAGGTGTTTTCAGATTTTCTACATGAAAAAAAAAAAAAAGACGGAAAACCGTCAAAAGTTATGGATTCTGTTTTCTTTTTGTCCTAAGGCTCCATGGTGATTTAAGAGCTCAATAAAATAGAAAATGTTCCAAATTATGTCTTTTTCTAATGTAATCTTGGTTTAACTATGTCATTTTGTTAGACAATGTACATGCTTTTTTATTATAATAAATATACTCATCAGGTACCAGTTAGATTCTCTGGATTAATAAACCCCATGCTGGGAGAAAAAAAATTCCTTCATTAGCCAATATCAGACCTATTAATGGCCTAGTATGTTCCATGAATCTGATGGTCCAGTAAGCCTTAGTGACATGGCATGGCCCAAAAAAATGAGTGTTATATGAAATCCCCTAAATAATTCACAATCACTAAACAGAACAAAACGCAATGGGTTTTCTCCCATGTGCCATTCACGGGAGAGATTCACCACAATCAACCAGACACTCTGACAGTAAGCCAGAGTAAGCAGAAACTCCTAAGAAAGACAATACCTGACTTAGGAAATCACAACTATGTCATCTGAGGGCATTGGCATGTGTCTATTATCCCAGCTACTCGGGAGGCTAAGGCAGGAGGATCACCTGAGCCCAGGAGTTTGAGGCTGCAGCAAACTATAATCACACCAATTCCCGCCAGCCTGGGCAACATAGTGAGACCCTGTCTCAAAAAACTTTCTTTTCATTGACCATGATTTCGGACTCATGCAAAGGAGCTAATAATTGATGAGCCTGTGAACCATACTTCTTAGGTATTAGCAATTATTGAACTTCAATGGGCAATCTGTTCCGATGATCTTGGTGAGACTTCCAGAAACTGTGCAAGAGAGAACAATGCTTCTGGAACCAAAAATTGAAAAGTGAAAGAATGTGTACTGCCAGGCAATAAACCTGATCCAACTGTAGAGGTTTGACTCTGTGACTGAGGCTTGGGAGAGTTAAATAACATTGGGTTTTTGAAACTCTAAACTTCAAAATCTCTGACCCATATTAAGAAAGCAAATTTTTTGAATGTCCTTGATTAGCCAGCAATATGCGGATTAATCACTTAGGAAGAATGTGGTAACGATGACCTGGCCACTTTTGAAAGTGGTCTTTGCTTCGTGGATGCAACACTGCTGTGTCGTCCCAGTGCCACTCTACCCCAAATCAGGTCTTTACCTCAGTGAGTAAGCTAAGTGGTCATATCAGGATTGGTGAAGTTCAAAACTTAGATTTCATGATGTTGAAAACCACAATTCATCATGAACATAAGAGAGCCGTGAGTGCAAATTTTAAAAAAGGACACACTTTCTTTTTTATGTACGCCAGCAACATTCCTTAAAGGTCACTGTATGCTAGGCCACAATTTTTTAAAAGCTTAATTACCAAAAGAGAAACATTACAAAATAGCTTTCTTTAAATTAAGACAATAAAAATGGAAATTAGCAACAAAAATTTTTCCAAAGTTTCATTCATATGGATTTTTTTTTTATCCATTAAAAACTATTGGGTTAAAGCAAAAATACAAAATAAAATCCTGACCACGAAAACTCTACATATCAGAATTAATGGTGTGCCGCTAAAGCAGCATTTAGAAGAGAAGTTATAATGTTAAATAGCAAATATTTTGATTAATAAAAGAATTAAACATTGATGTCAAAAACAACTGGAAATAAATCAGTTGGAAAAAGAATAAAAGAGTAAACTAAAAGGAAACAGGTGAATGAACAAAGGTGAAAGCAAAAGGTAATGGTGTGGAAAGCAGAATGGCCACATAACCAGTCCAAAAATACGACAGCCAATGAGGGAGGGGCTGGTCAGCAGAGAAGACAAACCACTAACTAGTATTACACGATCCTATGCATAGAGATTTGAAAAACCAGGAAAAAACTAGATAATTTTATCATGCGTAATTTACTAAAACTGATACTGGTAGAGATAAATAGTCTAAACATGCCAATTTTCATAGAACTAGAAAAAAAGTTTAGAGCCCCTAAAAAGGAACCAGGCCTATGCAGTTTTTCAGAAATGTTATCAAACCTTTAAAGACCATATAATCCTAGTAATACTTACAGTGGTCCAGAGCATAGAAAAATTAAAACTTACAAAGTTATTTAAGGAAATATCACATTGATAACAAACTTACTAAAAATTACACAAAAATCTCTTTAGATAAATATCATTTATGTATATAAATATAAAAATTTTAAATAAAATATTAGTAAACATAATCCAATGGTGCATCAAAATAAATATATTGGCTGGGCAGGTGGCTCATGGCTGAAATCCAAACACTTTGTGAGGCCAAGGTGGGAGGATCACTTGAGCCTGGGCAGCACAACAAGATCCCATCTCTATAAAAAGATAAAATAAAATAAAACAGTATATCATGGCCAAATAAGTAGATTGTATTTCAAAACTACAAAGATTGTTCAATATTAGGAATCCATTAATATAATTTATTATATTTACAGATTTCAGGAGATGCCCATATCATCTCCACCATGATCAATGAATATTCCATATCATGACAAAATATTACTTCAGTGCCATATTGGCACTATATCCCATATGGTTCTATGGCTCCAAAGTATAGTAAAATCTCCCAAGTGACTGTCTAGGAAAGGCAAAACAAAAGACAATACTCTCACCCTCTGCTTAAACTTCTCAGTGAACCATATTGGCTTCAACCTAAAAGCCTTAGCATGACCTCCTTGCCATTTTAAGGTACAAAACCAGCCAACTTCCCCAGGCTTATCTATGGACACTTCGCTCCATGAATCCTGTTATACAACCTCCCAGTCACCCAAATTTGTCATGCCTTCTCAAGTATTAAAGCTTGGCTTCATGCTTCTTCATCTTCCTTTAATTCCTTTCTGAATCTCCTTTTCTTCTACCTGGTTTTCCCCGACGGATTTCATGATACTCAGCTCAGCAGGCCTCGCCTGAGCCTTTTCTCTTGTATATATCCAAAGACTGTCCACATGAAGTTCCCCTCAGAATTCCCCAAGCATGCCAGGCTTCCTTCTGACTTATTACTGTGTGTTGCAATTGCCTGTCTCTTCCAATGGACTGTGAGCTCCTTGAAGGCTGGACTAGATCTCACTGATCTCCACAGCACCCATTTAAGTCTCATCATCAGACGCTTCTTAACTGGTTAAGGAAATTATGAATGTAGAATTATTTCCTTGGTTGTAAAATCTATGAATAGGTGTGAAAGAATCTTAGCTCATGCACTTATCTGCTTCTTCTTCTGTTTACTCAGGAATAACCGTGTTTATCAATATTTGGGCTCTTCACCACAACCCCTATTTCTGGGAAGACCCTAAGGTATGATTTGTCCCAACTGCACCCAGTGGCATCTAAGATAGCACCAAGAGGGAAGAGAAGCATCTTCACAATCGAGGGAGGACTTAGGATAACCATCCATCATTTAGAAAAGCAAAACAGAACAAACCCTATGCTTTTAAGAGAAAAATATGCTTGCGATCTAATCACGAGGATTCCGTGATGATGCCTTATCAACAGAAGAATATCATCCTGTTTTGGGAAGTAGAGAGGATGTGATGAGTCGATTGACACCGCATTGTTTAACCACCTTGCTCTCTGCTTTCATTCATGTCTGTAGTCAATCTAGTCACAGAGTTGTGAAGAGTATTGCAAATCACTTGTTACTGGTCATAATTAAAGTACCAAGATTATGAACTCTGCTTTTCTTAAGATTTGAGCATATCTGAAGCTAATCCTCTAGGAATATTGCTCTCCTTCACACCCAGTGCTTACCTGAGAGTGAAAGGGAAAGGGGGCCTGGGAGAGAACAAGTATCCTCCTGGGCTGCAAACCAGTGTTCAGACCAACCCCGCAGTCCAGGAGATACTAATCAGCAACGTCTCACAGAGACGCTTGGGCAGAAGCTGAACAACTTGAGCTGTTAATTGCCACCCCTTTCTCCTTTGCCCAAGTCCTTGGCTCAGTCCATTTGGAAACCAAGACAAATAGAAAAGATAATAATTTGATTCTTTGCCCATTTATATGACACAGGCTTGTGTTTACTGTGAATGGAAAATAATGAAGTCAGTATTTGGTCAAGTCGGATTGTCTTGATGATTTGCTGCTGCTTCTTACTATTGGGGCCTGTTTAATCTATCACTAGGTTATATAGTCTCTGCTTTCTCGGGATATATTTTCAGTGGTTGCCTCCTGGGGAATATCATGCAGGACTGTAGTATCCAGATAGTGTAAGTTCCGAAAGTTAGCTTTGGAATTCTGTTAACAATATGCATGGGGTTTTCTTGTGTGGTGGGTGGGTGGGGTGGAGGTAGTAGAACTGGGATCTTCTCTCTCATTACAGGTCTTTAACCCCTTGAGATTCTCCAGGGAAAATTCTGACAAAATACATCCCTATACCTTCATACCCTTTTCAGCTGGATCAAGGTAAAGACTCAAGCTGGTGAACTTGATGGAAACGTGTAACGGTGCTTACCTCACACGTGCTCATTTTCCTCGGGCCCTCAGTTAGCTGACACCGCCATTGCTCTGCATCATTGTACCTGGCGTGTCTTCTCTTGTGACCAGTGCATTCAGATGGTACCCTTTTGAGTCCCCAAAGGGACCAGTTAATGTTACAAAGAACAACTCTGGTCCTTGGCGTATGGGCATGGATTGATGAAGGCCATCCCCACAACAGGCCCAGAGCCTACACTTAAACTTGCAGTGAACAAGTTGGGAATGCCACCTTGTTACAGGAACAAGGCAACATTGGCAGCTCCCAGCTCTTGTGCCTACAGAGAGCAATGTTGTTCTAAAGTCCAAGTTTCCCTTTGGTATAGTATGAGAGACACCTGTTTACCAAATGACAATACGATCCACTGAGTATGCCAGGTTATTGTCGTCATGCCGAAGGCTTCAACTGCAAGACCTCTAAATAATAGCAAGAAGTAGCTTTTCTTTATCATGACATGAGGAAGGTTTTCTAGTTACGTGGACCCTTCAGGATCAAATGTTGATAGAACTCACTACCACTTACTTGTAAGATGCACCCAAAAATAATAGAACCAGAGTTTTCAGATCTTGACATTAGTGGACTTACTGCTCAGGGCTTACTTAACTTAAAAAACATTTACTGGATTCTGCCACATTAGAATTGGTTTAAAACATGGATCTTGGCTGGATGTGGTGGCTCATGCCTGTAATCCCAGCACTTTGGGAGGCCAAGGCAGGCAGATTACTTGAGATCAGGAGTTTGAGACCAGCCTGGTCAACATGGTAAAACCCTGTCTCTACTAAAAATACAGAAATATTAGCTGGGCATAATGGAGTGCACCTGACAAGTGTTCATTCCCTTCAGACCCTCAGTTAGCTGACACTGCATCTTTTAATCCCAGCTATTCAGGAGGCTGGGTCAGGAGAATCCCTTGAACCCAGGAGGCAGACAGGCAGAGGTTGCAGTAAGCCGAGATAGCACCACTGAATTCCAGCATGGGCAACAGAAAAACAAACAAACAAACAAACAACAACAACAAAAAAACCATGAATCTTGTTTCCCTACAAAAATCATTGTATGTAAAAAGATTGGCTTATGTTGCTAATAACATATAAAGTCATTAGATGTCGTTTTTTTTTTTTTTCTTGGTATCCCCAGGAGCTGCATTGGGCAGCACTTTGCCATGACTGAGTGTAAAGCGGCCGTGGCATTGACTCTGCTCCGCTTCGAGCTGGCTCCAGAACACTCAAGGCCTCCCCAACTTGTTCGTCAAGTTGTCCTCAAGTCCAAGAATGGAATCCATATGTTTGTTTAAAAAGTTGGCTAATTTTAAGTCCTTTCATATAAGAATTAATGAGGCAATTTCCCTACCAGAAGAATGAAAAGATAAATACAATACAAAATATATCCATATGGTTTTCTGACAAATTATATAATTAAGGATACTTCTGAATGGTTTTAACATCCATTAACAGTAAGTCTGATTTTCTTGCTGAATCATTTAGACAGCCTTTTATTGAAACCCACAAAAATACCTGAAAAAACTCAAGCTGACTTCCACTGCAAAGGAAAATTATTGGCTTGTGGTAGGGTGGCTTTCAAGCCATAGTTTGAGCAAGGCTCCACTTAATATCTGCATTACTTTTACCTCTGCAAATATCTGCATGATAGCTTTATTCCCAGTTATTTTCCCTCATAATAAAAAGCATCTGCCACCTCTTAGTCCCATAGTCTCTCATTATACCCTGCAGGAAATGGATAAATTGATGACAGTGTATTAGAAAGCCTAGACACTTAAGAGGAATTCTGAATACAGAAAAGCCTCATATATGAATTCCCGTTTGGAATATTTAGAGGATACCATGCCCTAGGAACTCTTGCTCAACATGGAGTAAGATAGCTACAGAATGTTTCAGCAGAGAGAGGGTCCACATAGAACAACCCGATCCCCCACGCTGGTGTTTGCCATAAGACAACACAGAAATTCCCGTATATCTGCAGTGGGAAACACAGAATTGTTAAGAAAGCCAAGAGTAATCACAAGAGAGCCAAAAGGAATCATTATTAATCCAGGAGTGAGTGGCTGGAATTAAACTATGCTAAAGTCCATGCATCTTCTGAGGTTGTAGGGTGGGGGAGGTGAAGAGTGTGGTTAAGATACCAAATAACAGCCTTTATCAAGCATGAAAAATAAATTTTTCAAACATAGTCATTAAAGAGTAGAAATAAAATATTTAAATTTGAAATCTGTAGAGAAAAATATAGAATAAGAAAAAATAGAATATAAAGAGCCAACAAAAGGCAGTACATTCTCCCAAAAAGAAGGGAAAAAAGAAGCATAGAAAAGGAAGCACAAAGTAAAATGGTAAAAACATCAATACTCAATGAGTGTGGATAGAAGAACTCACAAGTTAAGATGAAGTGGGTGTCAGATTGGATTTTTTTTTAATTCCAGACATTACTATAACATAAGAATAAATTAGGCTGGGTGTGGTGGCTCACACCTGTAATCCCAGAACTTTGGAAGGCTGAGGTAGGTGGATCACCTGGAGGCCAGGAGATCGAGACCAACCTGCCATAATGGCGAAACCCTGTCTCTACAAAAAATATAAAAACTAGCTGGGCATGATGCCAGGCACCTGTAATCCCAGCTACTCAGGAGGCTGAGGCAGGAAAATTGCTTGAACCCAGGAGGCGGAGGTTGCAGTGGGCTGAGATTGTGCCATTGCACTTCAGCCTGGGGGACAGGACAAGACTCCATCACAAAAAATAAAAATAAAAAGACCATAAAATTATTGAAAGTAAAAAGATGGTAAGTATATGCCAGAAAAATACTAATGGAATCAGAGTAGCTATAGTAGTATTAAATAAAATAGATGAAATAAAAACAAAACATTATCAGTGATAGTCATCACATGTGATTCACCACATAAACAGAATTAAAAACAGAAACCATATATCATCTCAAAAGATGCAGAAAAAGCTTTTGATAAAATCTACATCCCTTCATGATAAAAACCCCAACAAACTAGACATTGAAGAAACATACCTCAAAATAATAAGAGCCATCGATGACAAACCCACAGCCAACATCATACTGAATGAGTAAAAGTGAGAAGCATTCCCCTTGAGAACTGAAAACAAGACAAGGATGCCCACTCTCACCACACCTATTCGACGCAGCACCGACAATCCTAGCCAGAACAATCAGGCAACAGAAAGAAATAAAAGGCATTAAAATAGGAAAAGAAGTCAAACTATCTGTCTTCACCAATGATATGATTCTATACCTAAAAAACCCTAAAGACTCTGCCAAAAGGCCCCGGGAACTGATAAGTGATTTCGGTAACGTTTTGGGATACCAAATCAATGTGCAAAAATTGGAAGCATTTCTATACACCAGTACATCCAAGCTGAGGGCCAAATCAAGAACACAACCCCTATACAATAACCACAAAAATAATAAAATACCTAGGAATATATCTAACCAACTATGTGAAAGATCTCTACAAGGAGAACTACGAAATGCTGCTGAAAGAAATCGGAGATAATACAAACAAATGGAAAGATATTCCATGCTCATGAATTGGTAGAATCAAAATTGTTAAAATGACCATACTTTCCAAAGCAATTTACAGATTCAGTGCTATTCCTGTCAAGCCAGCCATGTCCTTTTTCACAGAAATAGGAAAAAACTATTCTCAAATCCATATAGAACCACAAAAGAGCCTGAATAGTCAAAGCAATCCTAGGCACAAAAAAAAAAAAAAAGCGAGAAGCATCACATTACTCACTTCAAACTATACTATAAGGCTGCAGTAGCCAAAATAGCATGATACTGGTACAAAAATAGACACATACATCAATGGAACAGAATAGAGAGCCCAGAAATAAAGCCATACACTTACAACCTTCTGATCTTCAACAAGCTTGACAAAATCAGCAATGGGGAAGAGACTCCCTGTCCATTAAATGGTGCTGGGATAACTGGATATCCATATGCTGAAGAATGAAACTGGACCCCTACCTATCACCTTATACAAAAATTAACTCAAGATGGATTAAAGACTTAAATGTAAGACCACAAATTATAAAAATTCTAGAAGAAAACCTAGGAATATAACCTCCATATCAGCCCTGGCAAAGAATTTATAACTAAGTGCCTAAAAGAAATTGTGATAAAAACAAAAATTGATAAGTAGGACCTAAGGAAACTAAAGAGCTTCTACACAGCAAGAGAAACTATCAAGAGAGTAAACAGGCAACCTACAGAATGGGAGAAAATATCTGCAAACTATGCATTTGACAAAGGTCTAATATCCAGAATCTATAAGGAGTTTAAACACATCGACAAGCATAAAACAAAAAGCTCCATGAAAAAGTGGGCATGTATGTCTTCTTTTTTTTTTTTTTTTTTTTATCTTTAATGGGTTTATTATTGATTCACTGTAAAGGCAGAAGTTTGCTCCACCCTTTTGCAGGATCTATTAGTGCTTCCAAGTCAGGAAAATAAATGAAGATTAAATATTGTAAGTATACAAACTTCTATTGGAAATCCAAATCAATAGTGTAAAAAACTCAATTGAATCCTTGGAAAATGCTTTAAAGGATACATTAATGCAAGTTTTATTAGAGGATCAATTAACAAAAATTTTAAGTCTAGCTCTTGTAGATTGATTATGTTAGAGCTGGAAATATTTCAGAAGCTATCTAAGTCAAAAATAGTCACCTCATTATCAATGCTGGACTCTGTTCTGATACTCCTTGAGTCTGTGAAGAATGTACAGGTAAAAATACCTTTCTCAATGTTCACTAGCAACCCATGCAAAATTAACAAACCGGTCTCACTTTTGATCATACATGTCCAGTAACAGAAAATAACTATCAATAGCTCAGCTACAGTGCATTAAAAACAAATTATATTTATGAATTGCATTATTTTGGGTTTAGCTAGAGCTTGTATCGTAGAGTCATCAAAAATCTCAAGCACAAATTCCTGAAGAGGTAAAATTATGCAGTTTTAGCCTCAAATTTGATTTAAAATAAAAAACTTTATGTTTACACAAGGTTCACAATTGCTAGAACTCTTGATTGTTGTACTGTGCTGAATTTGCACAGTAATTATGACCAATTACCCTAAAGAAAACGAGACACAAGCTACGTTGAGAATTATTAAAACAGGTGTGGTCAGGAGAATCAGGTTAGGTGCCCACCACTAGCCAGACAAGTACTCACTTGCCTTTGGAGAAAAGTTTTTGTTACTGTCTCTCAAGTCAAGTGTAAATATCTGCAAAATGGGAACTACAACATTTACTTTTCTTGCAAAGTGATTGTAAAGAATACATGAGATAAAATTTGTAAAATTGCTTAGGATTGTTCAATGATTAGTACAGGATCAAAATTCCAAAATCTGACAGTGAAAGTAACTGAATAGTTGGGACCTCATTTTAGCTATATCTGATATAGATAGCATTAACAGAGAAGAAATAAACTTTTATTATGGAAATTTTAATTGAACACGATAAACATCTCTTTAACCAATGATATATGTGAAAATTAATTAAATTTGTCAACTTTTTTTCTCCAGTTATGTTCACAACTTTTATTCAGTAGAATTGTTAAACTGTATTTCTAAGATGCAATGAAAGACTCCCTAAGTTTCTATCAATTGCTCAGTCTAAATCCATCGTCTAATGTGTCAACAAGGGTAATTAAAATATAGTGCCTCTCATAAAATTAATATATAATTATATTGTAAAATTTTTTAAAGAATAAATTTTAAAATCTATATTGTTATTTATATGAGCTTATAAAACTTGCATGTTAATCACATTATATTAGTAAAAATCTTATGTAGCACATAAAAATTCTAACGAAAATTCAAGCCAATGGCATATATGTCATATTGTCATGTCATATTACAGTATAGGATAGTGTAGCATTGTATTATATTACATTACATTAACCACATTGGTTTTGGGATAGCTTTGCAATGAAAATCAGAAATGTTAAGATATACTGTCCGTACACTGAGCACAACTGCCTATTTGATTCTATGATACATTTTCATATCACCTAGAGAGACAATTTATTCATTGAATGCTAGATTTAAAATAATTTTCAACTGATACTAGATTGAAAAATTGAAAAAATGTGCAGCAAAAATAAGGTTGTTAAAGGTTTTACATGTGAAATTATGTTATTTATGGGCATTAAAAATCTACCAAGATTTTATTTAAGGTCAAATCTTGGTAGATTTTTAATCTCTTAATCTTACTGATTAAAATTTCTTCCATCCAAATATATAAAAATAATCCTACATTAGGATATTAAATCTCTTTCAGATAAATTATGCATGGAAATCTGATCAGACACATTAGGAATTGAGAATGTTGATTATCCTATAATCTCTACATATTCATTTCTAATAAGGGGTAATTCCATTTAATGTAGTGATCTTTTTCCAGTTGGAGATTTGAATTTGATATCTCAGTGCTTATATTAATTCCAAACATTTATGTGCAAGCATATTGATTCATTTGTGTAGTGGCGGTATTGGCTGCTTCAGGGGATTCTTACATCAGTCTTGACATTTGAAGTACCAGGAATAGATAAGCCGCTCTCAATAAAAATAACCAAAATCTGAGGTCAGTCTCAATGGGACCTAAGCAACGATCCCATGATCTGCACATGTACCCCAGAACCTGAGCTTATGT